TCAGGCTGGTCTCGAACTCCTGAGCTCAAGTGATCCTCCCGCCTCGGCCTCCCAGAGTGCGGGGATTACAGGCGTGAGCCACCGCGCCCGGCCTGTTTTTCCTTTTGGTTCTTTCCCTTTGTACCTTACTGTGGAGCTGTGTTCTTTGGTCCTTCCAGGTTTAGCATTGCAGTCTCCTCCCATTACACTGACTGCTTTATCACCAGGGAAGGTCCCTCCACCTCTGCGGGATGTTCACAGCCGCACAGCTGTGTGGGGACGGTGCCCGAGCGCCCACCGCAGATACAGCCTCCCTTGGTGTCCTCGGACTTGACGAATGGATCTTGTCGACGAACACGGCTGGGCTTTGCCATTTTATCCGATCTAACAATCTCTTCTAATTGGACTGTATGTTCCGCTTATATTTAATATGCTTGCTGACACATTTGGGTTTAAATCCACCATTTTCCCATTTGCATCTGTTTTTTGCCTTCTTTCTTTTGGATTATTTAAAGTAGTTATGAGTATTTTCCTCTTTATTAATTTCCTGAACATTTTTAGTGCTTTGAGTGGTTACCCTAGAGATAAGATGTGTCTGACGTCTTAGAATCTACTTTAACTTCACACTTTTACCGCTGACGGGACAGGGCAGGGTCCCGGAACCCTTTCCTTCCCTCCGCCTGTGTGCCGTGTGTCTGAATTCTAAGCCCAGCAGTTCTGAGCACCATGTTCATTTAGATTTCCCATTTTCACTCCTCCCAGGAGCGCTCCTCATTCTTCTCCGGGCCACATGCATCTGCCCCGAGCTGTTTTCCTTCTGTCTAGAGAACTCCCTTCAGGGTGTATTTTAGGGCTGGTCTGCTGGTGACGAATTCTTTCTTATTTTGTCTGAAAACTCCATTTCACCCTCACGTTTGAGGACTCTTTTCACCAGGTATGTAAGTCTGACGTTGGCAATTATTTTCTTGTAGCACTTTAAAGATGTCACTCCATTGTTCTAACCTTGTTTCTGTTTTAAAAACTCAGCTGCCAGTTTAATCGTTCCTTTCAAGGTAAAGGTGTTTTTTTTTCCTTCCTGCTTTTAAGATTTTCTCTCTCTTTGGTTTTCAGCACTTTGCTGGGTGGTGGGTTTTTTCTGATTTTTAACTTATCCTTCTTGGGGCTCAAAGATATTCTAACATCTACGGCTGATGTCTCCTGTCAGCTCCGGAGAGTCCTCAGCCACAGTCTCTCTCAAACGTGTTCTCCGGGACTCCCGTCGCCGTGTGCCAGGCCTGTTCATTACACGTCTCTGTATGTTCGTTCCCTCTTTTGGTCTCTCCGAACTTCAATCTGAATGTTTCCTATGGACCTGTCTTCCAATTCAGCAACCCTCGTCTGTGTCTAACTGGATATTAAATCCATCAGTCGAACTCTTCACACGTGCCGTTCCATCTCTCAGACTCAGAGTGTTGTCTGCAGAGTCTTATTCTCTGCCGACGCCCTCCGCCTGTCGTCCGTAGTACCGAATGCGCCGATCGTGCAGTCCACGCGCAGTCTACTTCTGCTGTCTATCGTTCTCTGACCTTTCATTCATTGCTCCTGTGTTTTAGTGTGTCTGACGGGTTTTACTGAGAGTCAAGCCGTACCTGTGTGAAGGTGCAGGAGCCCTGATCTTTTCATTGAAAGAACGTTTCGTTTTCCTCTGGCAGAAAGGCGGGCAGGGCGGTCACCCTGATGCAATCGAGGCTGAGATGGCTCCAGCTGCGCCCAGCGTGGTGCGGGCAGGGCCACCTCTGGAAACCGTGGGGCTGAGCCCAAGCTTTGTCTCCTTTGCTCTCCAGCCCCCGTGGGCTGTTTCGGCTTCCAGGCCTCGTGCCCGTGCGTGAGCAGCCAGCAGGCACCAGCACCTGCCCCGGGAAGCTGCACACGGCACGCTGGGCCCGCTTCTCCGAGGCGCCCTTTCTCCCGGATCTCAGCTCCTGCGGTCCTGGCCAGCGCAGCAGTGCCAGCGTCACCGCCGGTCTCCACGGCCCAGTGTTGCCACCTTCTGTTAGGCCGGACAATCAGGACGCCAGCAAATGTTGCAACAGGAAAAAAAGATGTGACTATAGGACTCACCTTTATGCAAGTCTCTTCTCACTAGGATTTTGTTCCCTCAAATCCCTCAAATCTTGGCTGCCTTGAAGACTCTCTGATGTCTTCAGAAAGCTCTTCTTAAACATACGTTTTATAGGGCATTGATTGTTTTTGGGAGAGGGCTGCTCTGATACCACCTGCTGCCTCACAGTGAGAAGTGAGAGGAAGGGAAGGGAATTTTAGCTTCAAATGAAGTTCAGTGTTTTAGTGCATAAAGACTGGGAATTCCATTCTCTGAAACAAGACAGTTCTGAGGCTCATACAGAGGGCTTTTTATTATCTGAGAGAAACCTGAGAAATTAAGGAACCTACCCAAAATACCGCGCGGAGGCAGGGAAGCGAACAGCTCATGCGTGAGTCTGAACAGAGTTAAGGTGGGCATGGCTGAGGACAAAGGCATTTTCTTGCTGCACCACGACCCCCACGCAGGACAGCGAGGCTCCCCTCGCACCTGGCACTGGGCCCCTGCGCGCTCCTGCAGGACGGTCGACGGGGAGACAGGACGGCTCGGACACGGCGTCCTGGGTGCCCAGCACGGCCTGCTCTCCACAAACGTCCACCGACCCAAGGAGCAGAACGTACAAGGCAAGACGGCCTTCCCGATGGCGCTCCAGAGGGGCTGAGTTTTCCGCTGAGGTAAGAAGCCCGTGTTTTATCTGCATCCTCAGTTAGAACACTTCGGCTAAAACCAGCAGCAGGGGAGGAAGTTCAGAAACGGAACAGAAGGCAGCTAGCGCAGGGGCCAGCAAACCTGCCCTGAAAAGTGCCGAGTATTTTCAGCCCCGCAGTCCCTGCCCAGTTACTCGGTTCTGCTGTAGCAGCGTGAAGCAGCCGCAGACAATAGGTACGCAAATGGCTACGTAGCCCACGAACATTTCACTCAGAAAAACAGGCACAGTGCCAGACTGGGCCCTGGGGCTGCAGTCAGCCATTGTTCCCGGGCCTAGACTACAGCTCTGCACAAGCGATCGCTGCTGCGTCCCAGAAACTAGCTCGGGCCCTGGAGAGAGAAGGCACCTCACTGTTGAACGGCTGACGGGATACGATTCCGCCCGTTAGTTACACGGACTTGTCTTAGAGGGAAAAGTCAGGAAGCTCAATATCCCAGAATTCTGAGGCTGTTACCATCCCAAATACAATCCTGCAGCCGCGTGGCCAAGGCCGAGCAGGGACTGTC